TCCGGCCAAGCCGGAGGGGGAGGAGAAGAAGAAGAGCAAAACCAGCAGGAGGCGGCGGGAGGGCTAAGGAGAAAACCCTAGCACATTTCGGAAGCAAATGAATATAATGTTTTATATATCATAAAAATTTTATCTTGATTGGGCACAAATCTCTAGGCTAATTTGAGTTGGAAATTTCCAAAATTAAATCTTGGACCGTCTGAACTATGATTTCAGCAAACTTATAGTCAAACTGAAAGTCTCAAAAAGATAAATCCAATGACACCAAATTCAACCTCTATATAAAATGTAAGCCTATGGCAATACTTAGCTCATTAATTAACATTATCTTATACAGAATTATTTAAAATTATCAAGATACTACTGCAAACTAAAACCCATGGGGTTAACGAAAGACGACTTTCCAATTAAGGTCAACTTCAAAACAATGGATGACTTTCAACAAAGTCTAAGTTCATACTATCAAGGTCAAGTATGATGGCTTGAAGAAATTTGAGCATGATGAAATTCATTATACAACAATTTTCTAATTCCTCTTAGTAGATTGTGGAGCTTTGAGATAAAGGTGTTGTCCTAAGTCAACTAACATATCATAAATTCAATTCATGAAGTCTATGAGAAACTTTCTTTCAAGATAACTATTATGTTCATATCAGCAAATTCACAATTGATTGTCGTGGTGAATTCATCAAGCAATGCAATGAGGCAATCATTGTACTAATTGAAGTTGACTTTGAAGAAGCTAAAGTCATAAACTCCTAGCCTGATCATTAGTGACTTCAAGTATAGTACAGCTGTTTTCAATGATAAAATTCTTATAAGTTGCTCCTCAACCGTACTAGCTAAGAGGAATTATCATCTATCCTCAAGTGATCATATCTTACAAAAAAATAACCAACATAAAATCCATTGACCTCTTAATTTGAGCCAATGAAAATTTTAAGCATTAGAGTTGACTCTTAGGCTTCATTTGGGAAGACTTTTTTATTGCTCCTTAAAACAAAATTTTAGTAAAAAAAAATTTAATTTTTATACTAAAATTCTGATTTAGAAAGCAATAAAAAAGTCGTCCCAAATGAAGTCTTAATCACTAAAATTGTTGATAGTGTGATAAGATTGGTCAATCACTTTGATGACTTCAGTCTTATTTGTTGAAAAACTTGATTCCTATAACAACCTTGTCATTAAAACTCTCACTTCATAAACAACCTTGATATTAATTTTATTTGGATCTCGTTCAGGATATTTTCGCTTAACCTAAATTTTGTATGAAATTCACAATTAGTGGACATCTTAATTTCAATCAAACTTATCCGCTAGCTATATAGTTAGTTACACAAAAAAAATGTTGTCACTCTAAAATCCCTCAAAATTTTATTTTCGTTTAGAATCACTTTTGACATGATAGGAATAATCCTTTCTCTAAGTAGTTAATGAATCCCTTATAAATCCAAAATCATTACAAAAAAGTTTCTAATCCTTTGAGCTCAATTTTCAACAAAGAACATTATTGAATTCAAGAATTCTCATTTTTATATAATTAACGAAAAATAGTCAAATGGTCAGAAATTTTTTTTTTTTTTTGAAAAGGGGCATCTACCCGGTGGCACCCCACGTAGCGGAGACCCTTGACAAAGTAAATAATCTCATGGCGGGCCTAGCGGCAACCTATCGTCCAGCCCCATAGGTGCTACCACGCACTTATTTTTCTCCTCACTTAAGGAGTCGTGCCGCTTGAGTGAGAAATTAAACATAAATTGGGTGTTTCCAACAACGCTCGCCCATCAACCAAACTAAACCTGATCAGAGTGTGAGAGATCATGCCATCATACAAATATTATAGTTAAGTACGTTGAATCAATTCGTATTAACCGTGCGTCGTCTGTCTTCCCCAAAAAAATCTTACCAAATGAGCCTTCCCCTGTCATAAACAAAACTCACCCAATTTTCCCCAAAAAAAAAAATAAAACAAGCTCCCATGTCATTTAATTTAATGCTGCAAGCAATAATGTAATTCATAACTCACATTAAATAATAAAAATCCAGCAAGAGAAGAAGAATGCAAATATCACCGCCGTCGCTGACGTCTAGATGCATTTTGAGCAAATCCGACCGTTCATCACGTACGACGAGAGTCAGTGACCGACGAACAAAAACTGAATATATAATAATGTCAATATCCTTTACCTCGTTTGTTCCATCTCGCGCGGGCCTGGTCGCCATCGGCGGGCCATGAACCAGTAACGGATGCGCTGTCGGCTGACGAACACGAAACAGGTTTGAATTTGAACCAGTCTATGGACTCGCTGATTTGCGTAGCACTTTCAATCACGGCGTAACACGTGGCATTTACGACACGTTGCGTAAATTCAGGTTGCGGGTTTGGAAATCTAGGGAACGAAGCGGTGGGTGAAAGTGTTCTGTTCTTCAATTCAAAACTCGATTTTTTCCGTTTTCAAAGACGAAGAGGAGCCGCAACTGATTATCTCGTTGTTTGAAAACTGCAAAGAAAAGAGGACGCGCTTCCTTTTTCTATAACTTCTCTTCAGGTCTTTCTCCGTTTGATCTCCATCTATTTCTCTTGAGGCGATCAGCGGGGATTTTGTGTGGAGGGCCTTTGATCTGAAGCCGGCTGATTGCCAAGAGAGTCGCATTTCGAAGGCCAGGGGGACGAAAGCGCGCTGTTTGGACAAAGGTTAGAGGAAACCCTTATAAATTTTTTGTGTGCGTGATTTGAGCAGATTCTTCTGTATCGCTGTCATCTTGCTGTGTATTTTTTCTTCTACTCTACTGTTGTGGTGCCATAACAAGGTCTATCTGTGTGGGTGAATCGAGTAGTTACAGATAATATCAAAATTATTAACTTAGTAAGAATCGGTGGAAAGAGGTGAATATCTGCGATGGAGTTGCACAATAGCTTTGCTAGGTCTATCTTACTGTGCCAGCGTCGCTTTTTTTTTTTTTTTTTTTTTGGT